CTAGTTGGATCGATGACCGATGGTGCTGGCCTGCTGCTCTTGTTTTTTAATTCCCAACCCCACTACAAAAATTTCTAGCTTTTTAAGGGATGAAAATTTTCAGGCTTATTTTTTTATTTTTTGAGAAGATTTCAGCCTTATTAATAGTGTTTCTTTTCAGCTTGTATTGTTGAACGGATGACAACTTCTTATTGAGTACTGTATATTGAAATTGTGTTTTATGTTGAACCCAAATGAGCATAATGCATAAAAGTAATGAACATAGACAAATGAGTTTTTAAATGTAAAGATACTCATTTTGTAAGTTATATATGCTCATTTGATATCAGTATTATGCTCATTTTGAAATGTTATATGAATGCATATTTCAAAAATGTCATATTAGATTAGATTCACATATGATCGAGTTGATAATAGACATATAAGCAGATCATGATACTTAATTGCATGATTAAAATACTTGATAGAAGATGTTTGATACTCCATGAAAATGTCTTTATTTTCAACTAACAAAGCTTACAATTTACATATCAATGCTCATTTTGTAAGTTAAGTATGTTCATTTAATATTGATGTTTGATCATTTAAAAATGTCATATAAATGCATATTTCAAAAGTATCATATTACATTAGATTCACATATTGAAATTCGTAAGAGTTGATTATAGATGTAATTTAATAATTTTTATAAAAGAAAAAATAACAAAAAAAGAAAGTGAATTAGAAGTTATGAAGCAAAGATCACGATTTCTAATATTAGACTCCTAATACTCAACATAATTGTTCTGATGTTCACTAAAAGTTCATTAATGCTCATTCACCAGAAACCATGATTTTCATCTCAATAATGAAGGTTTGATGCTCAGTTAAAATGTTGTGATGTTCAACTAACAAACCTTATGATTTCATATCAATGTGCACTTTGTAAATTGTGAATGATCATTCGGTACTGATGTTATTCTCATTTTTTAAATGTCATATCAATGCATATTTCAGAAGTATCATATTACATTACAATCTCATATTTAAATTAATAGGAGTAGATAATAGATTTTTTTTTTGGAGTAGATAATAGATATAATTTAATAAGTATTTATAAAAGAAAATAATAGAAAAAGAAAAAATAGAAGATATGAAGCAGAAATCGTGATACTCATTGTTAACCTCACAATGCTCAATAACGCGCATTTTGGACAGGCAGTAACTCCGCGGTGCTTTCTCTTCACGCACGATTGTGCCTGACTTTGAGGGCACGATCGTGCCTATTTAACTTCCGAATTTGGCAAAACGTCCTGCATGAAAGTTGTAGATAATGAAGTCCTCTATCCACCCCAATTTGCTGAATGTGATTTGAATCATCCAATCAAGAGATATGATCAAAACGGTGGAAGGTGTCTTTCTGAAATCGCAGCAGATATAATCTGACTTCATCGTCTGTTTTCACCTTCTTCCTCTCAGATTCTCGCAAAGGTGTCTTCATATCATTTGTAGCCCTTGAAGTTATCTTTCCTATTGAACTTGAATCGTGTCCATTGGTTGTTTCTACAAAGAGATATGCTTGAACGATTGACAGAAGGTCATCCTAATCGTCGTTTTCAAGCTTCATTCATCTTCTTTTGATCCCAAAGCCAATCCTAGAGCTCTTTTTCCTTCAAATCTTCATCGTGAATCTTCCGGTGACCTCCAAAGCTATCAAATCATTCTCAAATGATTCTCAAATCATCCCGATTGTTCCTCAAGTGCCGGTACCGGGCTCAAATTCCCTGATTTTGACTACAAACAACACAAAACTCGAACCAACGCCCGGTAAACATAACTTGAGTTAAAATTGAGACTTGCAACACCTTAAAGCTGGGAAAACCATCAAAATCCAATCCCAACACACATCAAATGTGTGTCTAAATACAGACTTATCACCGACTAAGTCACCGTGACTTAGGGAGTGTTTGCAATCACTTAAAAAAAACACTTCTCAGCTTTTGGCTTAAAAAGCACTTATTTACCAAACACTACCAATTTTTACTTTTTCTCGGCTTGCGTGTGAAAAGTGTTTTTCCCCTTTCTATTACACAAAAAGCACTTATTTTACCAAACACTATCAACTTTTACTTTTCAAAATCATTTTTTTCTCAAACACTATCAACTTTTCCTACTAATCACTTTTTCCTTACATCTCCAAAAGTGCTTTTTTTTAAGCAGAAGCAGTTGCAAACACTCCCTTACTTCTCCACCATTTTGTCAGACCGGGGAGTGGGAGGCTCCTGCGGTGGGAGATTCCACCTTTTGGAGAATAAAAGAACAACAATTTTCATGGTAATGGATGATCTGATTACACAGTATGACAGTAATCACAGTAGTAGTCAAAGTAACAAATGGGCTCTTAGATATCTATTTTGGGTAACCCACCGGACAGGGCGACAGGCAAGGCAAAGCTATATCCAGTGCGATAAACATTTATGAGTGGACCTGATCACTACCAGATCTGGACGGGACTCAAGCGTTACCGAGTCGCGAATCTCATTTTATTGTTCTTGTCATTTCGCCTTCATCAAGCTAATCTTATTTTCAGGAATGTCTCAAACGCTTGATAGAAATAAATATGAGTGTTGATGCCATCCATTTACTCAACTCCCCCATAATCAACTTTTTAAACACTATTACTTTCATTCTCTAACACTGATATAAGAGAAGATGACGTTTTTTCCAAAACAAGTAACTTAATCTAATAGATATTGAATTGAAAAAGTTAGAATAAAGTAAAAATACTATTGAAATCATACAAAGCTTACTAAATGCCATATGGATCAATCTTAATGAAACAAACCAAAAAAAGAAAGAGGAAACTACATAGTATATCATACTTCTTTGGTATTTTTAAAATTGTTACACTTTCATTTTTTGGACATATTTAAAACATTTGCAACATTTTTCCTTTTGCTAAGTTTTTGCTTTAAAATTACTCTTACCTTTTCTATGTTTTATCATTTCTTTCATATTTTTTAATCATTTCTCCTACTTTTTCAACACTATCCATTATCCCAACTATTTCATTCTTAATTAATGTATCCAAATTTATTGTACTAATCTTTGAAATGCCAAAGGAGTATATAATGCTTTGATTTCATTCGAAGCAAGAGCACTTAATTTTATGAAAAAAATTATTTGTACACATAATTTGTACACATTTTATGTACACTCCTTAATTGCATGTGTACATAAGCAATTCATTAAGAGTGTGTACACAAAATGTACCTAGCTTATGTGTAAAAGAAGTACTATCGTAAAAAAAAGATGATACCCCATTTCTAACAACCACAACAACGACCGAACAGTTAGATAGTAGGATGTAAATTAAATTTTACTCGCAAGTTGTAAAAATAAGGCGCACAGCTTTCCACATCCACAAACCAGCTCATGTTGTCTGCCTCACATAGTCACACCCAAAATCAACGCGCACAAAGACAGACAGATATACTGACATATCAATAGAAAACCGAATTCCTCCAACCATTTTTGTCTATTGCTTATTTAATTCGTTTTTGATAGACCACGACTAATCATCCTTGTTACAACTGTCTTGTACTAAATCGGAGGAATGGGAGGATGTATACGTTTAACAAGATATCTGCCGTCTACCTGTGATTTTTCCTGCTAATGGTCAAAACACGCCTTAATTAATCTCCCTCTAATACCTTTGGGAAGAATAGCAAGAGGTTCATTAATATAAAGGGAAAATTCTATGAGTGAAAATATTTTGGACTTCAAAAATAAGAATGTTATATTTTTATTCTCTAATCGGTAATGTTTATTATCAACCTCAAAAATATACAAATCATATTTTAGAACTTACAAATATTTTTACTCTAGTAAAAATGACGATCTCTGTTAGTGTAATTAGTTTTTGCAATAACAGTAGTACCCGAGTAGTAAATATGCACCATAATGACCATATTTGTCTAAATAAATTTCTTTTTTCTAATGGCTACTATAAAAAAGTTATACGTAGTACTACGTACTACGTAAAATTGGTAGTAATAGAATGTTACTGTAAAATGTGAACTACATCGTAGTATATAATTTTTGGCACAACTAGTTGAAAAAAGGAAGTTTTTTGAATTTTTTTAATAATTGTAAGCTTTTAGTAAAATAAAATATTTTATTAGAAAAAAGTGATAGTTGTTTTTATCAAAACTAACCGTTTGATTTAGTTATATTTGGTATATACTCGTATGTTATTCAGAGTAATTAAGGGCCCGTTTGGTAATACCCAAATCGGCTGTATTGGTTGATTCTGTTGAAATTTATGAAGTTGTGGTTGAAGTGTTTGTATTGACTGATTTCTGCTGCTTTGTAATAAAAAAAATATTTTATTAATAAAATAAATAAAAAATTAAATGAAAAATAGCTAAAATAGTTCTCTATAGTAACTTCAGCCAATATATAATCATAAAAGTAGCTACAAGTTTACTTTTTATTATTATTACACAATTCAGCGTGCGAAACAAAACATTACGTGTTTGGTGAGAATGTTGACTCATAAACCTGAAAAGCCAAAAATCATGGTTACCAAAGGGGCTATATTGATAAAAGTTACAGACTTTTCTTACATTGCTACTCAGGGTATACAGGTTCTAATTAAGATTTTTTATTTTGATAAAAACTCATAAAATTGGTGTGGGAAACATATAATTAAAAGTTTTTAATGACTTTAAATAATATAAAAACTAGCTAGAAAATAGACGTGTGTCAATATCATCATTATACTAGGGAATACTCCCTCATCCCTAAATAAACTTCCAATTTTCCCTTTTCGTCCGTCCCAATTAAAACTTTCACTTTTCCTTTTTGGCCAAAATTTGTGGTTCACAGCAATTCTTACACATTTCTCTCTCCTCTGCACAACTCTCCATCACATAATATCTACTATCTTAAACTGTGTGTCAAACCTATTTGGAAGTTTAATAAGGGGCGGAGGGAGTATTATTTTACAAGAGGAGGAATTTCATTGCTTGCACCCACCCTACTATATAAATCAACCCTCTGGTTGCTGGACACCCAACAAGTCTCACATCTCCCATCTTCCCTCAAGACCCAATTGAGTTAATTAATTTCCATTTATAATATGGCATCTCCCATTCAGCCATTGGTACAGCTGATTCTCGTGGCAACTTTAGCGGCAGTTGCCACCGTAGCGGCAGCCAACTTCAACCAAGATGTCCAAATGTATTTCGGGAATGGTCGTGGTAAACTCATGGACGGCGGCAACACAGTGGCTCTCACCCTCGACAAAGAATCCGGCTCTGGCTTTCAGTCCACCAAGGAATACCACTTCGGCCGGTTCGATATGCAGCTCAAGCTTATCTCCGACAACTCTGCCGGAACAGTCACCACTTTCTACGTGAGTTCAAATCAATGCTAGTTCATACTACTTGTAGTGTTGCTTGCTTCGCATTTTACTTGTCATTTGAATTGTTCTAAAAAACGAAGTAAATGTTATTTCCTACAATATATTTCACTTATTTCACTCAAATCTGAACTAAATTTTTTACTTTTTCAACTATTCTATTTATAATTGAACCGAGGTATATAATACTCCCTCAGTCTCATTTTATAAGATATGTTTCTTATTCACTTCAACACAAAACACTATTAATTTCTTACTTCGCATATCAAAATTTTATGAAATTTGATTCTGATTTTTGCGACTTTGTCAAACTCTTACTGTAGTTTCAGAATATGTATTTCTTTTTTCTAAAAAAAATTGAGTGCGAACATGAATCTGTTTGCTTTATCGTCGGTCAATCATTATAAACCGTAAAATGTTTTACAATTTGGGAGGGAGGAAGAACTATCTATAAAACAATACACATAATAATATGAATAATGAAATTATCGCTGATTATATTATTTTGTATGCAGTTATCTTCACTAGGAGACAAACATGACGAAATTGATTTCGAATTTCTTGGAAATGTGTCCGGCGAGCCGTACACCGTCCACACCAATGTGTACGCCGAGGGGAAAGGAGGCAAAGAGCAGCAGTTCCGCCTCTGGTTCGACCCCACGGCGGCGTTCCACACTTACTCCGTCGTCTGGAACTCCCAGAGGATCATCTTTCTGGTGGACAACATTCCCATCAGAGTCCACCGCAACCGTGAAAGCATGGGGGTCCCATTCCCTAAGAGCCAGCCCATGAGGGTCTACTGCAGCTTATGGAACGCTGACGATTGGGCCACTCAGGGGGGCCTGGTCAAGACTGACTGGGCTAAGGCGCCTTTCTCGGTGTACTACCGGAACTTCCGGGTCAACGCTTGCTCCGTCTCCGGTGGCCGGACGTTGTGCGACTCCACGGCGTCGACGGATGTGGTCAACGGCGACCAGGCGTGGCAGACGCAGGACATTAATGCTCGGGAGAGGAATAGGCTGAGATGGGTGCAGAGCAAGCATATGATTTACAATTATTGTACTGATTCCAAGAGGTTTCCTTCTGGGTTTCCGGCAGAGTGCAAGAGTTCAAGATTCTTATAAATTATAATATGCTTCATCAGACACAATTTATGTGTAATAAACAGGAATGATATTCTTTTATTTTTGGGGATTATACATGAATACATGATTGGATTGTGGTGGTATTGCTATATTAGCGTGACATTTTTATAAGTTATATTTCAATATTTAATATATTCAAGGAAAAATATAAAAGTTATAAACGTTGATTAGGGATGAACACTTCTCGACACCCAAAGCCAGAGACCGATCCAGGAATTTGAGATGTCCTGAACTGAATAGAAATTATACTAGGTTTAAATATTAGAGGGATGACGTAAACGTGACAAATAAAAAATTTACACTAAAAATTTGAAAATTTTCTAAATTGCTCTGGGCTTCAGCCTACCACAGCCCGTGCATAGATCCTTCCTTGCCCAAAGCTAGGTTGTCCCCTTTGTTCAATATTGATCATGATTCATGATGATTCGTTGAAAGTGAGGTGTGGGGAAATTGAAGTGATCAATATATTTTATTCTTTTTGTGACAATAGAAAGATCATATAAAAGCTAGTAGGGTGCACGACATCTTAATAATCATATATTATAGCAAACCGTAGATGAATGTGATTTGGAAGAAATAAATCTCTCCTAAATTCTCGTTTAGTGTATAGCTTAAATTAAGAAATAGATTGCCGACTTATACTCCTTCCGTCCCAAATTATTTTGCAAAGTCAACATTTTTTATCAACAAATAATAAAATTCAAACCTCACTATTGATAATTAACTCAATTTTTAATAATTAAAATTTACATATTTAAAACTACGTTAAATTCTCTTCAATATTGCAAACTCCAAATTAGAATATAATTAAAAATTGACATCCTAATTAAGCAAATAAAATGAAACTTTTTGATCAAGAAAAGTCAAATTTGCAAATCAATTTGGGACGAAGGTAGTATATGACAATGATGTGTATGGAAATAGAGAGAAGGTGATGTTTCTGCAAATTATATATGGATTTAGTGGAAACTAAGAGACCGTTTGACAACACTGTTTTTCAGCTTATCAGGCATATCAGGCTTATCAACCATCTTTTTCATCAAACACGTAACTTTTGTATTCGCGCACTGAATTGTGTAATAAGCAGAATTAGAGTGTCAATAAATTAAAATATTTTTCTACAAAGCGTATGTAAACAAATTAGAAACTAAAAGACCGTTTGGCAACACTATTTTTCGACTTATCAGGCTTATCAACCATCTTTTTCATCAAACACGTAACTTTTGCTTTCGCGCACTGAATTGTGCAATAAGCAGAAAAAGTAAGGTTGAAGTTACTTTTCTGGCTGTATTGACTGAAGTTTCTGTATATGACCATTTTAGCTATTTTTACACATAACTTTTTCTTTATTTTTTTTTAATAAAATATACTTTAAAATTTTTTTCTCTTAAATGAGCAGAATCAGCCAATGCAGCCACTACAGCCAGAACTTCATAAATTTTAGCAGGATCAGCCAAAACAACCGATTTTGTACTATGAACGGGCTCTAATTTTTTGGACGAATGCCGTATACTAGAAGGTTTGTTACTTTAATTCGTGAGACGATGATCAAAGTGAATGGCAAATGGCCAATGCCAAATGAATAAAAGTGATAAACAATATTGAAAAAGGAAATATTGAAATTGTAAATAACACAATAGTAAAAGTGATGAGTACTTATTAAGGATATGTTTGTTATAACAGCCAAATGTATAAAAGTGAACAAAGTTGAAAGACAAATATTGAAATTGTAAATAACACAATAGTAAGATGATTAATGTGACTAAAGACTGTTCAAATAAAATAGTCGGATACATAAAATTGAAAATTATAGGAAGATATGATATTTCATATATGCATTTAATTAATATGAAGAAAACAATGTGATGTGGGAAAGTCAAATATCATTCTATCATACAATTTCTATATCAAAATTTCAATTTTCATAACTTTCAAATTATTCAAATAACTATGTGTGTCATATATATACTCTTTCTATCACACAAAATTTGATCAAACTCGCTTTTCTTAATGAATGATATTGAATTTAGATCATGTTAGAGCATCCACATTCATGATACTTAAATAAAAAGATTTTTTAGTGAAACATAGATCTTTTCAAAATAATCTATCATTTTCTAAATTACATCATTCATAATATTAAAATAATCATATCTTTTGTGGGTCCTACACTCACAAATTAATACTAGTTTCACAATTATCTTGAAATAATCCTAATTCATATTTCTATCCCGAATTATTCTGTCAAATAATCTCACTAAATAATCTCCATCACTCAATCATAATCCAAAACATAATCTGCCACATCACTAACTTAATCCTCTAATAATGCGACTTTAATTACTAACCCCTAATATGAGACTAACATGAAGTTGTGCAAAAGTTGAGTTATGTGATTGATAATGAATTAATAAAATGTGAATAAATGAATAATGAATTAGAAACAAACTTAATCAAACTAATAGGAAAACATGACACAATTATAGTGTGACAGAGGGAGCGTTTTATTTTGGGAAAAGGGTCAGGTAGGGCCTCAAACTTACATAAAAAGGTCAAATAAGGCCTTATATAGGAGGTTCTGTTTGGCCGTCGCCATTTGGGGTGGTTTCCGGTGGAATTTTTGATGAATTTTTTTGAGCATCTTATTCATTAAGTCTAGTTTACTCATACATAATTTGAACTAAAACTTCAATCGGGAAGGCATTCAAATGAATTCTTGAAGATAACTGCGCAGTTAAAAGCACAATTATATATCTTCAAGAATTTATTTGAATGCCTTCCCGATTGAAGTTTTGCCTGAAATTTGGTATGCGTGAAGCTTAATGAATATGATGCTCAAAAAAGTTCATCAAAAAATTTCACCGGGAACCGCCTCAAATAGCGACGGCTAGACAGAGCCTCCTATATAAGGCCTTATTTGACCTTTTTATGTAAGTTCGAGGCCCTATTTGACCATTTTCCCTTATATTTTTATGAAATTTATAGATTGTCTACTTTTCTCAAAAGTTTTCCTAATATAATTTCCTATATAATTTTCATATTTTAAATATTTAAATAGTGATAAATATAATTAGTCATATCTGACTGCTATTGACTTAGAAAAGTCATGACAAATTTTGCGAGACAAAAAGAATATGGTCTAAGTATCTAACAACAGGTCGGTGTTTCATATGATGTAACAATATATTGTGAATTATATTCTAAATTAGTGCTACCTAATATATACTAGTATAATTTGCACACCCTAAAATGGTGGATCGGATTGCACAGTAGTGAAGAGAAAAATCATAAGCCGCCCGACAGGAAATTAAGGCAACCCGGCGACACTTTAATTTATGCTGTAAATCCTGCCAACTGTGGATATATTTAGGGGTGAGATCGGTCCGGTCCGGTTCGAGTTTTTGCTAAACCCGGAAATTATTCGGAAGGTCACGGCGTTGAAAATAGGCATCGGAACAAAGCCCATTATATATATTCGCTGCGAGTCGGATTTTTGGTAGCCCGGATTGGGTCTGGGTTCGGGTTGGGCCGGTTAAAGCCCGAATGTGAAATCATCTCATTGTCCCTTTTTTATATTCTAAAACCTATTTTCAAATAAAAATAATAAAAAACACAGATCGCAAATAACAACACAAATATTAGTATCCAAAATCACCAACAATTGAAATCCTAAGAAGATAAATATCTTAATATTTTGTTTAAGATGCATATAAATAAATAATATAGGTTTTCTAAAATTATTACGAAATAAAACTTGAGGATAAAATTGTGACTAAATTTACTATAAATATATTTCCAAGGTCATTACGGTAAACAAATTGAACATATATATAGTCACTAAAAGTTTCTAGGTCATATTTTCATCCACCACGATTATAATCATATATTAGGAATAATTTATAAATTATATTTGTATACTATATAGATTTTATATTAAAGTTAGTTGTTTCAGGTTTTTATCGGTCCGGACCGAGTTATAGAATTTAGGGCCCGTTTCTGAGCCCGGATTTTCTGGTTTGGTCCGGGTTTTCTTATTTGGGCCAGTTAAATAGAAAAAAGTGGAAATATCCGGTTTCGGCCACCTTTGCTCAGTGCATTTCATTTATGGCACGTCACTTTTTTTCTTTCAATTTTAATCTTTCTTCTTTTCACCTTTTTAACATTTATTTCAAAAATAGAACCCCAAAGGTCCAAATAAGAACACACTGCTTCGTCCCTTTCTCTTTCCTGAAGCACCAGAGCTCGGTCCTCTCTCCAACTACGATGAAGACGCCGGCGACCGTTACGATTTCAACAATATTTCCGCCGCTTCTCACCGTCGCCGTCCGATTGGAGTTGTGTGAAGTCAGACATCGTTAACGAATTGGCAGATGGCCTGCTACTGAAACTTTCTAAAGAACATGAGATCGAAGACATGTTCTACCTCATTTGTCGATTCAGAAGATTGCATCTCAGAGGAATAAATGTACGAGATCGCCTCATTCAGTTGTTTCAGATTAATCCGACATTGAATATACGTAAGGAATCTTCTCTAGCTCTTGTTTGGACCTCCTTTCCTTTGATTTAGATTTTTTGTTTTGAGATTCTTCAAAAAGATCTATCAATTGGATATTTAATGGTGACCTTTATTGGTTAAGGCTTTTCTAGATGTTGAGCTTACTTCAACTCTACCTGTGAAGATTACATTGAAATTTTGAGAAGATGTTCATATATGGAACCGGACACGAGTTTTTAATATTTTTTATTTCAAATATAGGTTCCCATCTCATAAGAGTCTGTTAAGAGATTTACGAACCCTAAACATCTCAAATCGATCACGCAAGTGAGAGAAACAGATGGACTGTAATGGTGTTGATGTGCATCGCGTGGTCAGAAGGCGATATGATAGACGACAATCTCAAGCACTTGCATCTCCGGAACTAAACTCGGTCAAGCACCAGCTCGATTGCTTGATCGCACCCGCACATTCTGATGGACATTGATTAATTGAGGCCAATCTGTTAACAAATCTGAAAGATATCATTCGCACTCTACCTTCCTTCTTTGAAGTTCGAGCTGCACCTCATTTTCTCTCTTGCCGCTCTGTTATTTTGTTCATTGATTTAACTTAAGGTATGCTCTTCGGTCGGTTCTCCTCACTCTCACTTGTGTTTGGTGAATTTCTAATACATAA